TTTTCCTTTGGAATGTGGACATATGCTTTCGCATACCATGCTCGTAGGAAGGAGAGAGAAGCATTGTCTGGCGTTCTCATGTTCAATCCTTTCCTCCAAGCAATGATTGGTGCATCTTGTTGCTTTCCGTCTGGGGCTTTCTTTCGTAGACGGTTGGTGATATATGCAGCTGTGTTCAAAGCTTCTGACCATAGTTCTCGGGGAGCGCCGGCGTCAATCTTCATTGTCCTTGCTATTTGTAGCAAGTAATGGCCGGTGAATTCGGAAACGCCATTTTGTTCATAGGCATAGGGAACAGAGATAGTAACGATCATGTTTCTCTCACTATCTCTCGCCCAGGTGGCGAATACTAGGAATTCTCTTCCTCCGTCGATTCTCCATTCAACTGTCTATTCACCAGTTCTCTGGTAAATCTCATTGGCGAATTTCTGGAGAACGGGGGAAGCTTCTCCCTTAGTGGCAAGGCATAAAGCAAGTCGAAAGCGAGTGGCATCACAAGTGATAACCATAGCATGGTTCCGGTCATTTTTGCCATTTTCCGCATTAAAGCCGGGTGGACTAACTGGTTGTAGATCCACATGAAACATGTATACCGCTCTGGTTGCTCTCGCTTGGTTTGTTCTTGACACAATGCGCTTTAACTTTCCAAGGCCGCATGCCTCGCAGTCAAAATCGTCATGTTGAATCTCACAGCCGAGGTCGTTTTGGTTGACTTTTATTTTATAACTTCCGGCATGTCCAAGTCGACGGTGGGCTAGCTCGGCGGAGATAATTGCTCCGGCAGCTAGTGTTGGTGATACCAGTTGAATGAATGGCACTCGGTTAAAATCCTTAGTGAAGCCAATAACAATGTCATCCTTGTCGTGTAAGGATTTTGTTTTACTGTGCCACCAAATGCCGAGTTCTTTTTCGGCCGTTCCAAGTGAGAAAAGGTTGTATTGACCGCCGCTTTTATAGACACAATGGATGCTTAATGTGAAGCATGCTTATACAGTTTGGGCGTCGTCATTTCTAAGGTGCAAGTTCAATTTGACAATTCCATAGGATTCACCCTTGACTTTCTCATTTCCAGAGGTCATCCATTCGTATTCCTGACCTTCGGGATAGTCTTCCAGGGTGCTAAATGCAGATTGATCGCTACAAATGTGTTCAGATGCGCCAGTATCCAGAATCCATGGATATCCTAGGGCGGTGGCAGATAGTTGGATAGCTACCATTAAAGTATTTGACGCTTCAATCTGGGTGTTTTCATCTGTTTCCCGCTCTTTAGACATTACATTTGACGTTTCAAGCTAGGTATTGACGGTTGTTTCTTGGTTTTCTCCGTCGATTGGGGCTTCTTCCTGGCTCTTTTCATCTGCCATAATGTAGGAAGGGTTGAAATCCTACAACAAGTCGATTTCCAGACTTGTCATGATGAAACCGGTGCTACTTTCTAGCGCAGAGAGGTTGGCTTATCGTGTCCTATCTATCACTAGGCCCTGGATTGGTTAAGATTTGTCTTGCTTGAATTCCGTTTTGCCGTTAGAGGATGGCGAAGTGGAGGAGGGAGACATATTATTGTCTCTCCATTTGTAGGTCCAGATTCCAGCTCTCGGCGTCCAGTTCTCCCTTCGTATCTCTAGGACTAGATAGAAGCATCTGGTTATTCCATGGCCTTTCCCGCCATAGTAAGTGCAATTGCCGTTGTCACTCCTTTCTGGTTTATGGCCTTTCCATTTGTTGACATGATCAAGTGCTAAAACGCCTTTCGGTGGCGTATTAGTTAGGCGGGAGTATAAAAAATTGGAATTAGCATTTATATATGAATTCGAACCGTTGGAATTGTCTTGTCGACGTTGTTAAGTGCCGTTTGAGACTACCGATGATATCAATCCCGGTGAGTTGTCGTTTTCCGATTTAATATGGTCCAAGATAGCAATGCTATATTGGTAGAAGTCGATGGTGGTGATATTCTTAACCGGTTCGTTGATAGCATTTAGCTCATTATCCTTAACGACAATGTAGCTTTTCAATTCCGGTATATTCATCAATTCCTAAAGCATGATTTATAGAGCGAAGTATAGTGGAATATATGCATAAAGATCGGTGAGGTTTTTATATACTATTTTCAATCCATTAATGAATTCCTCGCTACTATTAAATTGGTGGCGGGTAATGAATCTAAATTTCAGCGTTGCCTTCTTCAAAGCACTATATCCTTCTCCTTTCATATACTTCTTTAGTTCGTCAAACAGCTCGTCGGCGAATTCGATAGTATTACCGCGGCGGTTGATTTCCTACATTAAGTCGTTATCTATACTACTAGACAACCAGCTTCTTACTTGCTTTGATAGAGTCTTCTATTTCCGGCCGTCGGGGTTACTTTTCATCGGCCAGGGGATCGAACTATTGATCAAGTTATATAGATTGTGTCCTTCCAAGATCTTCTCGATCTTATCAATCCACATATCAAGATCCTCTCTTTCTTTAAGAGGCGGGGTGATTTTATAGAGGTTGAAGCTTCCGATATCAGGCAGGCCAACAGATTGGTTGGTTACCTCAGGTGCTTCGCTGTCATTATACCAGTCGTTGTTATCGTCATCGACCGGTGGTGGTTGTTGTTGTTATTGAGCGTCAGCCATATTGAAGATAGATGATAATCTCAATCAACGTGATAGATCTTTGAAAAAATGATCTAAAAATGGAGCAATCAGTGCTCAGTTGTCGGGATAGTGCATGAAAGGCACTTCCAACATGAAGGTTCCACAAAGAAAATAGCACTTCCGGTGCTATTCCTAGTGGCCTATGAAGCTTCCAGAACAAGATATACCACTTGCAGTGCTATTCTTGGTGGAAGAGATGAAGGTACGGCACTTTGTAGTGCTCACCTTGATGAAAAACGTCAAGATAACTGATGATCTTGATGGAAAGTGATGCTTCCAACCAAGATATAGCCTTTAGAGATGCTATTCTTGATGGAAGTGATGAATGAAGTGATGATTCAGGGTTCAGAGGAAGAAAGAGGGCGTCATAACCTGTTGGGGCTGCTAACTATGGGGAGAGAGAGAGAGAAGAGGAATCATGATCTATTCAATCTATCTAGAGCAGGGGATTTATACCCTGCCAAACAAAGAAAGGCTCAGTCTGCAAACAAATGGAGGCATCAATGAGATGACTAGACAAAGGCATCAATGGGATGACCGACATAGTCCAACAACAATATTGTTATTGCCTGTTTACCAAGTGGCGCATATGGCACCATATCAGCTGCAACGGTAGCGATACAGTTGCTCAACAGCTTCGGCTCTATCCGGTTCGGTCTGATGGTCGGTATCGGTGGAGGTGTACCAAGCAGCAAGGCAGACATTCGACTAGGCGATATTGTGGTAAGCCAGCCAGCGGACACATCCGGAGGGGTGATCCAATACGATCTCGGTAAAGCGTTAAGCGGCGGACAATTCCAGCGGACGGGGATGCTTGACCGGCCACCCAAGGTCTTATTGACTGCCCTCGCTACACTTCAGGCCCACCACTTCACAGAAGATAGTCAAGTTCTGAAATTCGTTTCTAACGCCCAAGCCAAAACGACGCAGACAGCTATAAACTTTGAACGACCAACCAAAGAGGACCTTTTATACCAAACAGATTATGACCACGGAGCATCTGATACATGTGTTGATTGCGATCGGTCCAAACTGACTCCACGACCTCCACGAGACTATGAAGAACCAGTGATCCACTATGGACTGATTGCATCTGCGAATCAGGTAGTGAGAAATGGCAGACGGCGAGATCAGCTGGCTCGAGACCTAGGGGTCCTCTGTGTGGAAATGGAAGCTGCGGGGCTCATGAATGACTTTCCATGTGTAGTCATTCGAGGCATTTGTGACTATGCGGACTCACACAAGAACAAGGAATGGCAAGGATATGCGGCAGCGGTGGCAGCGGCCTATGCAAAAGAGCTTGTCTTGCTGGTTCCAATTGATCAGATTGAAACTACGCCGACAGCACGAGACATGCATGTCGACCCACGTCTGGTTTCAGTTCTGCACGAATCAGCTACGAAGAAACGAAACATGAATGATGACGATTTAGAAGGATCAACAATTTGTTCGGATATCTCTGCAAGGAAAAAGCCCCGTCTGCATTTCTCTAGGTCCTCAGACTCCGAGGAAAGTGACTCGACCGACTATGACGGTAACAGCATTTCCGATGAGAGTAATCAAGAGAATGCATATAATATCCCAGAGCCTCCAGATACTTCTCAGGGTACTGAAAGCTATGCTAGTGTTTCAGAAAGACCAACAGCTAGGGATACAACAAGTGAAAACGGCTCATCTGATTGGTATGAATCCTCCCCGTTGGAAGACCTCTGCTCTAAAAATAACACCCAAGATGAATCTGACATCCTGGGACCTGAGAGGACATCCTCGGAAGAGGAAAGCCTCAGCTCAGAATTTTAGTTTTACTGTGCATTTGATAGACGTTAAACTGCATTTCCAGGGTAACAGGGGGGGTATGAAGTGGTGGACATGTCAAACGCCATTGTCAACCGAAAGTGCTCGGTCTCATACTGGATGCGAAGCGCAGTAGGGAGGCGCAGACAGTGAATCAATTGTCAATTATATTCTTACATCATCCTCACACCCATGTATTTCTCTTTCAGGCACATGATCTCTTAACACACTTTATCGCTTCTAAGAATTGAGCTTTATTTGACATATTTCGGATGGGGGGTCACAGCCTAGTGGGCCAATGAATTAATGTGATAGAGACCAACCGCTGTCCAGTCGGTGGCATTTAGTTCGCATAAGTCAATTATTCATGTGCTCACACAAGTCAGGAGCGGGTTAATGCGGAGAAAGGCCACCATGGTGCCTGGACAGTTCTGTACTACTGCTAAGCTACATAGGGTAGTTTCAAGAAATGATAGATTGATTCAACATCCCATATCCTATCCCCTTTCCTATACGCTAGGCGGGTTATTTATTTCTTCCGCCATAGCCTCTTCGTTGGTTCTACCTAGCCCCAGCCCTGACCAGATCCCCAAACCTCGTCTCCGCCTGTGCGGCCAGCACCGCAGGATTCCCAACCTCCACAATCTCTCCCGTATCCATAACAACAACCCTATCAAAGTCCATGATCATGTCCAGTCGATGGCTGACCGCTATAATCGTGTAGTCCCTAAACTCCACCCTGATAATCTCCTGCATAACACGTTCCGTCTCGCGGTCAACACTCGAGCTCACCTCATCCAACAACAATATACCGCAGTCCGAGCCATTCCGCGCCCGAATAAAACGTCTCAGCAGCGCACGCCCAAGCGACATGAGTTGCCGTTGTCCCGCGCTGAGAGTCCCCGCGCTCATGCCTGCATCTAGGCCACCCCGCTCCTGGACGAACTTCCATAGGTCCACGGCAATAAGAACAACCTGGCATTCCTCGGGTGTTGAAACGTTGGACGGGTCTAGGTTCGCTCGGAAGGTGGACCCATCTGGTAGGAATACGGCTTCCTGGGGTACGGCAATTATGCGCTCACGGAGTGCAGCCCGGTTTATACGGTGGAGCGGTGTGTTATCAATGATTGCGTTCCCAGCTGTCTCAGGGACGGGGTCGAGGAGCTTTAGGAGTAGCGCGATGAGGCTGGACTTGCCGCTGCCGGTACGACCGCAGACGGCGACTCTCTCGCCTGTGTTGATAGTGAGGTGGATGTTGCGGAGGGCTAAGTTGGACGTGCTATCGGGTTGATCTTCTGCGCTACTCGGAACATCAGCACATTGTGTGTAATTGGTATTGAGCTCCTAAAGATATGTTCCTCTTACCCGTAATTTGCAGATACGCCCTTCAACTCTACCACGCCATTTTGCGGCCACTGGACAGGAGGAATAATGTCCTCTTCTTCTCTATCCTCGGCCTTGACGTTTTCGTTGAACATTTTGAGACGAGCGATTGCTCCAATGGAAGTTTCCAGTTTGGTGTAGAATATGACAATACCTGAAATGTTCTCCCCAAAACTCATAAGGGAGAACAAGGAGGCACCAGCGAAAGCAGAGTTGGAGTGAAGCCGAACGGCGAGGGTCGTCATGACCACTGCTATCACCATAACTACCAGATCGAGGACGAGGTTCAGCCACTGTTGAATCATAAGGAGAAGATACGCCGGTCGTTGACTGGCGTCAATTAGGCGGGTATTCTTTTCGACATCGCTGGGAAGGAAACCTGTGTATCTGTAGTGTCAGCGGCGCTATTTCGTATCCGGTGCTTTGCAAAGTGTCTTATTAGACGTGCTGTCAGTGTTGGCTTTCATTTCGCATTGTCACCCACCGAAAGCTCTCAGAGTTGTAATTCCCTTCACAGTGTCAAGAAAATGTGTGCTGAATAGATGCAGATTAGTTTCAAGGATAGAACACACCTATTATATCGCGATATCTAGTGATAGACTTACTATAAGGGGCTTTTAGTCTCAAGTCCTAGCAACCTAAGCTGCCTAGAGGTCCGAAGGTAAAACTTTTGTAAGATCCATAGTAGGGCGCCGAGGAATGGATAGCTTATGGCCAAGTACAGAGACGATGTAAGCATAACTGCCGCTTGCCCGAGTGCTTGAAAAACCTGCGATCTGTCAGACAATTGGACGAATTTGAAGCCTGTCTGGAGGCAAGTAGCAGTCACCACGTAGTTTCAATGTGCATGTAATTGCAATAAACTTACGCAAAAAATAGTGTTCAAAGTTGCTTCTGGCAACTCTGTGTCTATAAGATTCAGATCTTGTGAAAACAGATTTGTCACAACACCAGTATCCGTATTGGTGAAAAAGTATAGCGGTGCTTGAATAAGTGTTCGTAAGGCATCCTGGTGGAGGCTAGCACCTGCCCTTTTCACGGAGACGATAAAGAGCGCGATTCCGAGCAGAAGCAGTGAGATCAAGGCACAGATTTGAAGCAAAGCATATATGCCGGCGTAGTAAGCGTAAGAGTGCGTTGGATGTTCCGAGTAGATGTCATCGGTCCAGTATGTAAGCCCTGCGACAATTGGCATTAGTTAATGGCACCTTGAATTTCAGCATAGGCTGAATTTCGCTTAACTGAAATGCTGAGACGGTGATTATTGTACTGTCTGAAGGCAGAGGTGACGCACAAATTGTTGGAAAGTTCGTAAAGAAACCCCAAAGAACACCAAAGAACAAACTGCATGCTGCCAGGAACAAACCCATGCTCTTGAAATAATGCTTATATACCGTTTTATCGCCAATTTGCCGCAATGGATCCGCATCCGGTGCAGTGGACGATGTATTGGTTATCGTCGTGTGAAGCATTTGCGGCTTCGATTCCTCCGCGCTCTTCTTTGAAGTTGTTTTCTCAGTAGAGGCAGCGTTATCGGAAAGACCTTTTAAACCCAGACGTCGAACATATCCTTGACTGGCCATCAGTTGCTGGAAGCCACCTTGCTCGACAATGGTGCCGTTGCCAAGTGCTATTATGTGATCCGCTGCGGGGAGGTGCCTGATGCTGTGGGTGCACAACACGACCGTAGAACCTCGTCGCTTAAGTAGTCCATCTGGTCCGAAGACTTGCTGGAAGACCTTCTCCTCGGTTTCCGCATCCAAGCCGCTGAAGATATCGTCTAGTATAAGAAGATTTGAGTGCAAATATAGAGCTCGCGCAAGAGAAACCCGTTGTTTCTGGCCCCCAGATAGGACGATTCCATCCGAACCAACATTTGTTTGGTCTCCCTGTGGCAATGTGGCAAGATCGAATCTTAGGGAGGTAGCCTCAATCACTTCGGCATACCTCTCATTATTGTATGGAGAGAACCCCACGATGTTGTCTCTAATAGATCCGTTTGAGAGGAATGCTGTTTGTTCGCAGAATCCAACGTGAGGAAAGCTAGTACCTAAAACCACGCTACCTTCGCTGAAAGGGATTTCTCCAAGTAGTGCCTTACATAGCGTGGTCTTCCCAGAACCAACAGGTCCGACGACAATAGTGAGTGAGGACTTGGACACTCGAGTACTAACATTCCTCAAGACGAACTTGTCTGCTTCCCAACCAAAATTCCCGCTTTTGATGATGAGAGGATGAACTGAGTCCAGTTCGGAACCAGATAAAGTTCCGGTGTCGGCTCGGGCCTTTTCGGCATTCCGTTTTATATCATCAAGAACTTGGCGAAAATCATGACGAGCCTCGCACTCCAAAAAGGACTGGATTCGGCCTAAACACGCCAATCCAGAGACAAGATCAGGGATAGATTGAAAGACCTGTGACAACGGGTTGGTCAAGAGTGTAAGGAAAGCTAGACTGGTGAACATCCTTGAGGCATGTAAGGTTGCTTGGGCGAAGGCGAATGTTAATGGCGGGCTGATCAGCAGCGGGATAAAGCCCAAAACTGCTGCAATAATGGCTAATTTCCGAAATCGGCCTCCAGCCGCTAGCTCCTCCACACGGAGGTGCTGCACAAAGTCACCTATAGCAACAGAGAGGCCAGATATTTTCAAGTTCTTCATACTAGCAATGACTGTGGCTGTTAAGCCCACCCGCTTCTGGACCCCTGCCATCCAGGACCTCTGCGAATCCCCGGTGAAATTTATCAGGATCCCTAAGCCGATGAAGCAGACGATTACAACTCCCACTGGTGCGACGAACACTACACCAAGCCGGTTGTACAACATCCATCCGGCAAGAGCTGCTTGAATTATGCTCGCCCAAATCTCATGCAGATTCCTGAAACCAGTCTTGATTCGCTCCATGTCTGTGCTCATTAAAGTCAGCGCAGCACTGTCATCGCCAGTTCCGATACGAGCTTTTGTGGCTTTAGTGAAAATCTCCGTGACTAGTATTGACGTAGCCATAGTGCGCATCCGGTGGTGGAAGTACCTGTGCTCATATATCATTTATCAGCCGCGGACTCGCTGGTAATTATTTCATAGAGGTTACTATACCAGTAAAAGCCCGTTGATATAGCAAGTCCCGAGTAGATAAGTATGCTAGCGCCGATAAATCCGTAGCCGACGTTCTCATCGAGTTCAGGCTGGGATAGATAATCCAATAGCTTTTCAAGGAAAAGCGGTTGACAAAATGTGAAACAAAGAAGTGCCAGACGTGGAGGTATAGGAAGTAGAAGAGGAACTTTTAGTGTACGCATAAGCACCTTCACCAAACCAAATTTGTCGCCCTTCAGATTAGAGTAATCCATGTTCTTCAGAAACTCGTCATGAAGCGGTCTGGCGTTGAAGGAGCTATCTAGAGGGTAAAGGTCCCCAATAGTTAGTATTTTGTTGTAGCCAACCAGGAACATCTTGTTGAGCCAGAAGAAGACACCCAAGGAAAAGATGCCGCTCGTCTCCTCTGGACTATGCTCCTTTTCGTCCCAACCCACCCATCTGGACTTTTGCTGGGCTTCCAATAGCAATATTCCGGCCTTCAGAGCTATAGCAGCGACGAATATGCTGCTATAAGTGAGTTCAGGTTTGTCATCTGATGACAGAAACAGCGTTCTTGCCTGAGCAACGTCCAGAAAAAGAGTTAGGAACAAGTAGCTGCTCAGCAGTACAGACGGCCTTGGGCTTCGGCTGTGATCAACAACACTCAACGTGATCATGAGCATCGCTGAGACAAGGTTGAGGACGGAGGAAGCTATGAACATGTTGGTCACATGGAAGGACCCAGCCGCAACAAATATGAGGAGTGAAAGCTCAAGTCCGACATAGGTTGTAATAGCACCCTGCAGCAGGTCAATCACCACGTTAAGTCTCTACATTTGAGAAAAAGAGCATACCAATTTGATCAATTGGAAAACCGGCGCATTCACCACGGTGGGCTTCCGTGCCTGGTAAAGTGTCCGCCATAATGATGTTACGATGAACAAAGTGGACGGAATGATGGAGAAGAACAACTGCTCGAATTGGATGTTGAAGTCAAAATCCTCTTGGTTCAGCCGAAGCAAGTTCTCTTCTCCAGTGGTGAAGGGCATTGTAGATGCCTATAACAAGTTGAATGTTTTCAACGCAACCTTGCTTCGTTGCCGCAGCAAGCCGTGTCTCCGTTATGCGGCTTTGGTGGCCCAATTGTGGTCTGGAGGATATTTCACAACCACACCCTGAAAGATCAAAAGTGGGAGAGTGGGGGATACCCTTGTTCGAAGGCAACGACGAAAGTTGACCTAGTAAATGTCAGGTGACCTAAGATAAGCACTGCCCGAGGCAGGTGCTACCCTGTTGATGAGGCTAAATCGAATTCGGAGATTTCGGGATTACCTACCCCCTGTCAGTCAAGACCACGAAGCCAATCAGGCCCCCCGCTGACATATACGTCAGCCACATGTGGTATCGCGCCATACGGATGCTGTCAGACATGAAAATACCCATGGACCCGTGAGTCACGTCGAGGAAAAGAACTTGCCCGTCAGCACGTAGTTGGCTTCCATCTCTAAATAATCAATGATACCGTACTCTACCTGGCCCTCTTTTTCCAGTATGCGTGCGTGCATTAGACGCATGCTTTGCTCGTCAGTCACTTTCTTCACGCCCTAGAATCTGCGCCGCAACATAGCTTAACAATCAACCGGTACTACAAAGATTCGAGCTCCTCGGCTAGGCCTGGATCCTCCGATTGGTCCATACGGTCAAGGTGTACAGCCTGGGCCTTGAACTTTTGACCAACTTACACACTCCGTGCTTGTGGTGACCCCGCAGCATATCCCGCGCCGGTTTGGTCGGCAAACCCAGAATCTCTGTTGCTTTGTCTCACCCGAATTACACTTGGAACGAGGGATCGATCCTATTAGTGGATTTGAATTTTTGACAGCCAACTTCAAATGATGGTGACCATGCATATGCAGGTACCCGTGGAGTAACCTTGACAGCTTCTGCGTTTGATGCACGGAAGTTTTCTGTGCTTTACTCCACTAGTATTCCATGGTTTGCGTAAGTCAATCGATTTTCACTTCTTATCTCAAAGGGTTCTAATAATCCCTCCGTCGCTATCAAACCAGCTATATACTCGGCGGAATCCCCATCCCACCCCCTCCGGCGGTTGCAGATGTCCAATTCTTATCAACTTCTTTCTAAATACATGTTGTCCTTGTTTGAGGTTCTGTCCCATATACATGACTCTTTCACACAATTGCTTAAGGCGACTTTGACGCTGTGCAAACACTACCATTGCAGTTAGGATCATCATCGTCGGCATCGGTGGGATCCTCGTAGTCTTTCGAACAAATCACAGACCAGAGCACCTCAATCGCAAACCAAGAGTAGCTATCAGCGTTATTAGTAGCCAGGCTCTTATCATAGGCTCGAGCCCCGGAGACTCCATAAGCAGGGTCGTCTGTTTCTTTGGTCAATGGCGGCGCAACCAATTTGGTATAGTGGGTGTATTCATGCAACAAAATCGATCCTAGCGTTTCCATCTTCCACGACATACGCGGATCAAAATTTTCACACACAACCTTATCAACTCCGTCATAACCCTTGGCAATTCCGCCGTGGCCAAACCCGGCTTTCTTGCAGATGATGATCTTAGGGTTGTCGGTGCTATAGTCACGCAATTCTGCCATGGTGTCACCATCGCAGGCATAATCACCATCGTCATCCTTATAGTCTGTCACAATGGAGATCTTGCCTAGCAAGTCGTTGCCGGTTGGGTTCTCTGGGTCACCGCCGCTGATGTTGGAGAACACCTCTACATATACTGTCAATAATCTTCCTGTCTTAAAGTTTCCTAAAAAGAAACTTACTCATGACAGTGTCTTTGTCTTTTGGGTCGAAATATTTCTTGAAAATGGGATCCAGGGTCGAGGAAGATGCGACCTGCACATAGTTCGCCATCTCTAAAGCGTCCTTGAATGCATCCGTAATCTGAGTTCTCTCTTGGTCACTATAACCGGGGTCTATACTCGGATTCGTGCGCTTCTGAAGGGACCTGGTTGTCTTCAGGTCTAGCGGGATGGCCAACGCAGAGGCTGCAAAAGCGGTTTGTAAGAGAGCCTTGGGCAGCATAATGGCGAGCTATGTCTCCTGAGCCGAAAGATAAATGGGAAGGGTGTGTGATTCTGTTACAAGTCTTCGGCCCTTCATCGCGCTTTTATATGCACTAGTTCTTCCTACGTCCTAACTTTCTGCGTGGGGAAATTGCTCAGGGCAAGGCGCACTCCATCTACCTCATAGAGATGGGTCGTCGAAGGATTCGATGCACAGTCATATTTGCCGTCAGGAACACTACCCTAAGTCACCATTTCTAGTGCTTAATGACGCAGCGCACTTTCCCATTTAGGTATCCCATTTCCGGCGCATTATATTTGACCCCCATTGAATTTGATTCTCTCTATCCTAAGCTCCTGTTATGTTCGCGACCTTTCGGTTTTTGGCCCCTTTATATGAGGGGCTTAGCAACGATCTACATTACGATTCAGCCTCGGCTGAGATTTTGGTAATCTGACAGCCGTCATACAACAATGACGTCGGTTGCAGGGGTACTGTATACTAAAGGCTAGTAGACCCAGCAAACCCCCAGGGCCACTTTCTCACTGTCAAACAATCACTCCTCTATATCGACTTTGATATCGGCAAAAAAATAACATTTTCATCCTCACATCAACCCGAGATACCTTACTCCATATCAATATCAAAAAAAAACCCCCGCAAAATGTCCAACAATCCTCCCCCATCAATCTCCGTCACACTCGCTATCACACCGCCAAAGTTTCCCTTCGACCCCAGCCCGCCACCGACGATCACCCTAACAGCTGTTTCACACTACCATGAACCAATCACAATCTTTACTCAATCCACAATATTCAACCTCGATCTCAGCCAGCGTCGCAGCAACTTTATCTGTCACGATATCACGACAGCAGACACTAAATCGCTGCGCCTAGATGTCACCAAAGGTGGGAAGCGCCCAGCCTTCAATCGCGAGTCGGGTGGATCCGATGATCGCTTTTTCGTTACATTAGACCCTGAGACACCAACTGAGTTCCAGGAAGCGTTTCGCCTGTCAAAGAGATCAGGAGATCAAAATTCGCTTGAAAGCGGACATCGATATTGGTTTGGGATAAAGGAGGGTGAGGTAGTGTCCTGGTGGAGGGTTGGAAAGAAAGCAGAGGTGATGGCGCCCCCAGGTGAACGGGCTTCGCTGGGGGAGGCAAGCGGGGGGCCTATTGCTCTAAAAGTGGAGGGGTTGGAGTTTGAGGTGATATAATCATGTATTTATTATTATATTCAGGAACACAAAATGGACGAATCGCTCATTAGTATCATTGCCATCCACCACACCCAGGCACACAGTTGATCCATGGACAAAGTGAAAAGCAAGTATATCGATGACCGTAGTAGCACTCTGTATATAAACGATTTGCTCTTTTTCATAAGAATGTTTGAGTTTTATCTCTATTCGTCAAGGTTTTACGGATTCTCGCAGATTTCACACACGGAGCCCATGTTTCACATGCAACATCAATATCGGAATGACTGAACTGCCCAGGTGCCCAGGTGGGCTTAGTGTCTACGGAAGCATTTTCGATCGCCGATTTACCGTCAATTAGCGTTGTAGTATAATATTCCATGTCTAAGCTACTATAGCCATTACCACTTTGTTCATTATATGTACTGAGTATAAGCGCTTCGATCACCACAATTTGAATATCGAACCGATGATACGACACCGAGGTCATAAGCGGCAAGGGATTTGCAAACTTGTCAAGAAGATGAATCTTAGAAGCCAACCAGGGCGCTTATAGATCTGAAGTCACATAGGCAGACTTTATATGGCGTAGATCCAGAAGTACTACGGAGTACTCCGTACAGGAATATGCACGTATATCCCTCCCCCTCCTATGTGCAGATAACCGACCTATCGGAGAGTAATAGGTACGGGGTCGAGTGCATACATCCTGCAATACTACCGTCTAGAATATCCCAAAGCCAATCAATATCTACTATTGATATTGTAGGTATCTGTGTCGAAACAAACCCCTCTTTAAGGTCGTAAAAAGCAGTCCGGCCATCATAAGTACATATACCCCTCTCTTAACATCATCTTTCAAACTTTTATCCTTAGCATCAATCACCATCATGTTGTCAACGCTGTGGTTGGGTCTTCTCGTTTCCTTTGGATTTTGGATTGTTACTACCGTTCGCGGCCGCAAGAGATATCCCCTGCCTCTTCCTCCTGGTCCCAAACAGAAGCCCATAATTGGAAATCTGAAGGATCTTCCAAATCCAGATCAACAAGATTGGATGCACTGGTTGAAACATAAAGAGTTATATGGTAATAATGAGTTCCTGTGGAATATTTCAACTTGGGATGTTGACTAGTCCTAAATTAGGACCCATTAGCTCACTCACTGTGCTGAGAAAACATGTTATCGTCCTTAACGATGCTAAGCTGGCTGTGCAGCTACTAGAAAAACGTTCAGCTATACACTCAGGGCGTCCAGAGAATATGTTTACTGACATGTAAGTAAGGGCATTATTCTGATGACACCATGGTGACTGATATCGCCAGGTCGGGCTGGCAATATGTTCTTGGGGCGCTCAGAAACCCAGACCACGTAAGGAAAACACGGAAACACTTGTATCAAGAGATGGGCTCAAAGAATTCGGTTGCCCGCTTCAACGATATTCAGACAACGGAGGTCGGTCGCTTCCTGTTGAGGGTATTGGATGATCCAGACAAGCTCCATCATCACATACGGAAGTGAGTAAATGCCTCTCTATTCAGAAGAATAGTATTCTCGTGTTCAAAGGCTAACTGGGAGCAGAGATGCTGGAGCGATCGTCCTGAAAATTGGTTACGGGTATACTATTGAACCCCATGCTCAGGACCCTCTTGTGGATCTGGCCGACAAGGCGATGGAAGATTTTTCATATGCCATGCTCCCAGCGACATGGATGGTGGAATTCATTCCAATAAGTAAGTAACGATTGATAAATTATATCGACACACTGATTTATGGAATGTTGTCTGACTCTCGGGCTAGTGAAATATCTCCCGGCCTGGTTCCCTGGGGCACGATTCGTGAAGATCGCGCAAGGCTACAAGTCGAGAGCACAGTCTTTCAGTGACGTCCCGTACGCATTTACCAAGCAGCAAATAAGCAACGGTAGCTTCGTGCCATCGTTCTTGTCCAATCTTCTTCGAGACAATCCTGTGGAGCCTGGGACCGAAGAAGAGGAAATCATCAAGTGGTCAGCTGGTTCTTTATACGCCGGAGGCGCAGATACAGTGAGAGCAGATCCAGGTTGTACGCATTATATTAAACTGACAAAAAGCAGACTGTCTCCTCAATTGCAAGTTTCTTTCTCGCCATGGCCCTTTTTCCGCAGGCGCAACACAAGGCTCAGCAGGAACTCGACACAGTGCTTGGGAGTAATCGACTACCCCAATTCAGAGATCGAGAAAGCCTTCCATATATGGATGCACTCGTCAAGGAAGTTCTCCGATGGCATCCAGTTGTACCCATGAGTGTAGCACACACGTCAACCCAGGACGATACTTGCGAGGGGTACTTCATCCCCAAGGGATCGTCTATCCTTGCAAACATCTGGTGAGTCGGTCTTATCCATTCCAGGAGACAGTAGTACCTGATACAGCCTTCAATATCCTAGGGCATTTACCCACGATCCAACCGTCTATCGAGACCCAATGACCTTCAACCCGGAGCGCTTTTTGACCTCCCCGGATGGCAAACTCCCAGAGCGCGATCCGCACATGCTTGTATTCGGGTTTGGTCGTCGAGCTTGTCCTGGGCGTACTCTGGCAGACGCGAACGTTTTTCTCACTGTCGCACAGGCTCTGGCTGTCTTCAGTATCTCGAAACCGATTCAAGATGGAGTTACCCAGGATATCCCACTCAAGTTTCTCCCCGGGGTCATTAGCCATCCTGCTCCGTTCAAGGTGTCGGTCCGGCCGCGAAGCGCAGCACACGAACAGCTCATCAGAGAACTCGAACAACAGCACCCTTGGGAGAAGAGTGATGCCGAATTCATCCCGAGTATGTAGATGATGGTCCATATATACTCAGTGACTGCTGATTCCCCCATCTGGGTATGTGGTTGCGAGATACTCTTAACAATTGTTTAAATCAAGAGATTGGTCAACCAGTTTTGTTAATCAATTTTCAGTGGGAAGCGACACTCTTCGATCGAACTGAGTCGGATCTCATTCAATCTTGAATACATCACAGGATCTCCCAGTTTGATGGCAAGGTAAAACTTTCTATAGCCTTCTTGAAGCTTGTTTTCGTCTTAAGATATCCGTACCGTCGACATACTTCAACATATAACTCAGAATAGCCAACCAATAAGTCTCGTAGGCCGAGTCGTAGTCACGGAAAAGTAACAGAATCAGGGCCTCACAATAACTGATGGCACAAGGAATTTTCACGAGACAAGGATGTGACAAAAAGCGCCCTCGGCCACGGCCTAGAGATGCTGACGGGAGTCGATCGTCCGTCCAATGTAATTTAGGGCGCCATTATTGCTGAACCATTATATTTAGAAACTAACTAAAGAAGCTCCCCTTTGTTTACTAGCTCCCCTTTGTTTACTACCTCTTTGTTTTGATCTAAAAGGGGACCTCATGAACCCTCTTAACCATATCCTTTTCTTCTTCCTTTGTAGATGTCAAAGATAATAAACAATGAATAAACAATGCATTCTCGAATGTCAGTTCTCAAAGCCATGCTCTAAATTTTGCCTACCTCGATCACAAAGAGTGAGTCAATTATTTAATAGTCGATGGACTCCATTTCAACCTTCATTCCATACTCAAGGTCACTATTCAATCAGTCCAATGATCGAACAATCAACATAACCCAACTCTACATATAATACTTTCTGATAATCCTTCAAATGGTCAGGTTCTGGTCGGGTATGGGTTCAGCACCTGAACAAGGTTTGTGGGATCGACTTGGTCTCTATTCGAACCCCCAAGCCCGGACTACTGTTATGAACGCTATTCGAAGAGCTCACGATGTTGAGCAAAATGCACATCTCCTTACTAATGGAGATCCTGTTCACCTTCTTCACTCGGTCCACCGTAGACGAAGCCTCCAAAATGGTTTCATCGCTGAAATACCTAATCTACCAGCATATATTCGAGGCCGTCCTCAAGCTGAGCTTGTTGAGTGTATGGTAGATCTTTGTCGTTTCTACCGAGCCTATGAACCCGTTAATTGGGGACTCCCTGCACCGATCAGACGTCCACGGCAGCCACGGGGAACGGCAAAGGCAGCAGAAACTGTACCAGTAACTGCTACTGCACCTGCTCCTACTCTTGCTCCTGCACCTGTACCTGCTCCTGCTCCTGCTCCTGCTCCCGTTCCTACACCCGTTCCTACGCCCGTTCCTACGCCCGTTCCTACACCCGTTCCTACACCTGTGCTAGCAAAGGCACCGACAAAGAAACCTGCACCCGCACGCAAACGAGAGCTAGATGACACAGGTGACGATTCTAATCTTCCAGCTCAAAAGAAGCAGGCATTGGAGGCTATGCCAGAGTATCCAGGCTTAGCAGATCCAGCGAGCTTATATGTCCAGGAGCAAGAGGCTATCCTAGGAAAGAGAGCACCGCGGGAGAATTATGATGAAGAAATGGAAGATGTATCTGACGAGGAAGAAAGTCTTTCTGCACAGTCCGAAGAACTTTAGATATATAGGCGACGGATGAGCAAGGGAGTGAGAAGGTGGGGAAGACTAAGCTTTTCCCCAAAGGTACACAGTCTGATTTGTCTTTTGATCTAGCGAGATGTTTGATTATTGCATATTACTAGCCTTTTATAACCATAGATGATAGACTTTCTCCTTCTTATATTTGGAATACAAGCCTTGAGAGTTCGTCTGAAGACTGTTACACCGTCCGAACCCAGGAGTCACTATTCAACACTATAAATTCCTTAGAAGACTGCCTAGGCAGCAAAAGGCCTTGGATGACGGTTTCAGTAATATCCCCAGAACTGGATGGTTCGTGTAGTAGTAAGCAATAGTTACAGGTAAATAAATGGTTATCACTAGTAATTTAGAAAATTACTAGTGGCTCTTAGCTCTTCGTATCCGAACCCTTTTTAGTGTCATTTCCCTCCTTGGCGGCTATATATATCAACTCACCCTTTGATGTGGGAATGAAGAGACCATGTACCCCCTCAATCATAGAAGAAGATTATGGTCTCAAATCGTGTTAGAGAAGTCCTCATAAACACCCTACATGCAGGTGCCATACCCAACCATGTTGCATTCATCATGGATGGCAACCGGCGATATTCAAAGATTCATGGCATGACAATTGCAGAAGGACTCTTTCGGGGGTCTCAAGCCATGACAAAGGTATGCGTCATGCCGATATCATCATAATCAATTGTTAATGTTGACATGAAAAGGTCGTGGAAGGGTGTTTTCTGTTAGGCATACCAGGCGTCACGGTGTATACATTCAGCCTTGAGAACTTTAAACGACCAAGGGAGCAGGTCGACCAAGTCATGGAGGTGCTTAAATACCTGTTCGTCGAGTATGCCCAGCCAGGTGGCCTATTAGAGCGATATCAATGCGCGATTAGGGTGCTAGGTCGATTGGACTTGCTCGATGACGATATGAGGGAGACAATTGACAAGGTCGTGAACCAATCTCGACACCAAAAAAAGAGATTTCTAAACGTGTACCTGGCATATACTTCGCGCGATGAAATTGCCCGCGCAGTGCGAGTGTCAGCAGAAGAATGTTGTCGGGGAAAGATTTCTCCTACAGCCATCACAGCCCAGTCACTAGCAGCTCGAATGTACGCAGTCGATAACCCTCCGGTGGATATTCTTGTTCGAACGTCGGGAGTCCACCGATTGAGTGATTTTCTGCTCTGGCAATGCCATCAGGATACTGATATCCAGCTTGTGAACACCCTCTGGCCGGACTTTGGCATATGCGATCTTTTCTTCGTGATTGTACGGTGGCAAAGGAATATCAACCGTGTGGATTTACAAAAACCAAGCATTGGTTTCCTTGTGACTTGCTTCATCTTTGTGCTCATGTCGGTATCATCATGTTTATATTTCCTCGTTAACCACTTTGTTTGAGTAAGGTCTAGTTTGTGACAAACAGTTGGAATCAATAACATAGTCTTCAAATCGAAAATACAAACTTCTAGCATTGTTATTGGAGAAACTCTTCTCTCGCGCTGTGATTGGCGGTGACATTCGATGTTCTTTTCGGTCCTCTTTTAAATCCTCTTTTGAATCGTCTTTTGAGTCCTGCTTTTAACCTATTTCAATCTATTGTTAATTGTTTTTGGAATATACCTCTTAACATACCTTCGCGGAATATCATTAACGAATTCTTCTTCTTTTTTAGCTAATATGACCCCATTGCTTTGCTTCAGATATGAACTGGCATCTACAAAGAGATCGACGTAGCTTGGGACACAAATATAGCTCGGTACCTAGTTATATATACTGTTCTGGAAAGAGGGGACTGATGTCAACACTCCCATTTGGATCTGACCAGCCCTGTCTGATGTCTTGGCTTAAACCCTAGTCACATTGGGGTTTTACTTGGGATTGGTGTCGGGCTTGGAATATCATAGTTCGCCTCATGACAAAGGAAGATAATCAAGAGCTTTAGCAAGTCGATTCATTAGAAGCAACATCTCAACAGAAGCGACAATATCTCAATGAGAGCACGGACACGAGCGATACTTAGTGTTCTCGGTTGACCCGTCCTGCGTGTGGGTCTGGCAGGAGCTTTCCTTAGAGTGTTCGGGGGATATAACGGCGGCTCAGCGAACCATATTGACAAGCAAGCAGAGAGGCGCCTCAAAACGGCCATCGCGAACAGAGACCACATGCTCCGACCACTAGTATAGGTTAGAATACTGATTTTAGATGATTTAGAAAAGCTCACCTTAGAGTCGTTGGAGATTTTGAGGAACGAGAACGTTAACCCGTTCGATGCCATTCCATAAACAGTGCAGTCTCTCTTAGGGAGAGCGTTACGCTCCCGATGTATGCAGCCTTTTAAACGGGTTAGCTTTCTGATATATAACATGATAAACATCGTCAAATACTCACCCATATACCCTAGGGCCTAGGCCACGTCGGTCTTTTTGGCCTCCATAATCATACACCCTCGTAGTCGCCGTGCCAAATCCCGTAATCGGGACGTGCTGACAGCATGACCTTTTCACGCTTCAAAGGCACCGGGCCATATCTATATGACCCCTCGGTTTAGACGTTGATGGGCTGGGCATAGGGGTGGTGGGAGGAGGCGATGCCGTGTGCATTCAGGAGGAGGGCGTCAAAAATCCAGCGGACAGTCGCTTCGGTGGAGGAGGAGCGACTGGAAGCCCCATCAATTTATGTAGACCACTCGGCCCTGGGGTAACTAACTAACTAGTTAGTGAATTACGTTAACTAACAAGAATAGCCGCTTATGCGGCCTTGACAAATATTTTTTTGGTGTTCTTTTTTAGTCGTCTCCTTAGGCAGTCTTCTTGGATATCTATTTTTATAGATATTTTCTCTGAGTTTGTTATGTAGATGGCAGAAAAAGGCGGAAAAACGCTCTTTCCTATAACCTTTGACATTCGAATGCCTTCGTAGGCCTAATATTTCAGGCTCCATTCCAACCCGGTAGAGTTGGGCAGAATCTCGGCTTGGCCAATTTCATCCCTCTTGAGATCAGTCGATCAATTCACTCTGCGTTTTTGTCTGACCTACTCAAGTTGAACAAGATAATTTGGTCACTAAAGACTGTCTCATCGACTATATAATATTGGCCCATTGGCCGATAGGCTCCCGCAGCGGTCACCAGCGAAGTGCCACGTCTACCAATCCCTGCTCCCCACGTTTGGGCTCGATTAGGCAAGACATACACATATTGCTCCTTCCATCTTAGCTCTTCGTACACTCAAGTCGCGACAAATTTGGAAAACAACACGTCAATTGCTCTTTTGTCTATCATGGCTTCACCCACAACAGCCGTTGACAAGTTATTTGTCTGTCCTGGATGTCAGAGAGGTGGCTTCAAAAGCATCGGTGCTGTCAAGGCTCATTTTGAGTCCAAAGGCCACAAACTTGCTTGCAGTCCATGCGACAGATCTTTTGGAAATGTAACGGCGTTGCTCAAGCATTCCCAGAAGCATGAAAAGCCCATAGATGGTTCCGATCTCAAGCCTCTCAAGTCGGCAAAGCCAGCTCTAAAGAGCACAAAGCCACAGAAGTTCCAGGATCTTTCCGAGTCTTTTGTCAAGCCTGCGAAATTAGCACCAAAGTCTGTCAAATCTGAGAAGTTCCCGGATCTGTCCGAGTCTTTTGTCAAGCCTGCAAAGCCATCGCCGAAGACCACGAAGCATGAAAAGTCACAGAATCGTTCCGAGCCCTTGTCTGTTAACCCTGCGAAATCCATTTCAAAGAAAACAAAGCCTGAGAAGTCCCAGGAACTGTTTGAGTCTTTGTTTGTCGGTTCTGCGAAACCCACTCCAAAGAAAACAAAGCTTGAGAAGTCCCTAGATCGCTCTGATATCTTGCCCACCAAGCCTGCGAAACCAGCTCAAAAGCGCACATCAAACCAGGCACCAGTACGTGCTCCATTAAGGGCAGAGGCTTTTGAAGACTTATTGAACAAGACCTCTGAACTCGAACCCCCGAACCTCTCATCACCTGCCATCCAAAACACCAATTGCCGTGTTATCCTCGAGCCGCTCGAACAAAATTTGATCTTTCGCTACTTGTCGGCACGATGTCACTCGGACACCCGTCTGGTTACACGAGGCTTCACCTTTCGGGCTGGCTTGGCAGATGTCAGCAGACGCCCGTCAAAGAAACCCCTTCCGAAGACAGGACATTTCCGCCAAGTTCCTCGATCCTCGGACGGCTTGCCGAAAAGGAGAGCAATCGTCCTTGACTGTGAGATGGTGCAAGTCGAAGCAGGGCGACGGGAGCTTGCTTTCTTGAGCGCAATTGACTTTTTGACTGGCGAGGTTCTCATCGACAATTATGTGCAGCCGAAATCGAGAGTCGTGAATTGGGATTCTCGGTTCAGTGGGGTGACTCCTGGTGCAATGAATAAGGCTGTCAAGAAAGGGACAGCGTTGTTTGGCTGGGAAGGAGCGCGCTCGAAATTATGGGAGTTCATGGATAGCGAGACTGTCCTCGTCGGTCATTCTCTCAACAATGATCTTGACGTCTTGGGTATCATTCACTTGAACATTGTCGACTCCTCCATCATTACCAGCGAAGCGGTGTTTTACACTGTACACGCCGGTGAACCACTCAACCGTACATGGAGTCTGAAGACTCTTGCCAATGAATTGGTGAATTATGAGATCCAAGTCGGGAAACAGGGCCACAGTGCGCTGGAGGATGCACATGCAACACGGGATATTGTGATCTGGTGTCTGAGGTACCCGGAGCACCTGAAGGTATGGGCGGACAATGCCCGGGACCAAGAGGAGCAGCGCGTATACGAGAGGGAGTTGAAGAGGACGACAGAGGAGGAGGCGAAGGAGCAAAAGAGAAAACATGATATGGAGATAAAGATCCAGATGTTATCTCGTGGCGTTACTGGTTTGGAGATTCATGACATTGGCCTGTCTGACGATGATGCTAATGACCCTGATCAATCTTTTGTCGACCATGATGACGGTGATGTTGAATACGAACCGGTAACCATTGAAGCGGCTGCGGCTTCATTCTTTTGATACTCACATGTCTATAATTATCTGTTAATTATGATGTTATATGACAATTCAATTACAAGTGTTCAGCCATGCAAATATTGAGCTATCCGCTGTTGCTCTCTCCTTGCCTTATATATTCGGCGAGGAATACGCCCCTACAAAGCAATACGACAGAAGTGGATTCTGTTCACAAACTCGATGCCACTCAAATTCAAAAAGCTCATGACATTAACAAAGCACAATCTCACAATCTGGAGGCACTATTATACACAGTGACCGCTGTCGTCATCGACACAGTTCGTGTCTCCCCGGCAATACTAAGAGAGGTCTGCCATATTATCGAGTGACTCAACCTAGTATTGAAAGTGATAAAACTAGGATGGATGCTAGCCAAAAGACTGAGACGCTTCCCATCACTCATCAGACCATCATGTCTAAGAACAAGCCGAAGCACCCTCCCAATATCGACCGGTGTATCATTTGGCCCAGCAAAAGTTACAATAGGATCATTGCTCTGTTCAAACGCTTTCTCCAGACCCAAATGTTGAACGAAGACATTTTCATCATTGGGAGTCATATAAAGGCTCTCCTCGCTCGGTTTGAGAACAATCTCAACTTTCGAAAGAATACTCATCTTAACCGCGGTAACATCGACCCGTTGCACAACATCCCAAATAGCACTACTACTCCCATCCCGCTCTGGTATAACCCTGATAATAAGCGGAATCGGCGATGGATTATCGAGTTGAATAGCAACCGGCACACTCATCACAACCTTAAAGCTAAATCCAGGAACAGAAGATAACCCGAGAATCTTTTGCGTCTTCTGCGTCAAGGATAAATCCACATCCCGCATCGACGGAAGCAGTCGCTGGCTGCGCACCCGGCTCACGAGGCTGCACCGCTGCAGCGCAAACCGGATCCCGCCCGCGTCTACCGTCGGATGGCCTAGCGTGATAAGCGCTGTTGCACGTTGGACATGCCACGACCCATTGCGCATGTACCGCAGCTGCGCCTGGAGATAGTACTCGATGTAGACCTTGGCTCCGGTCCATTCGGTGGAAAACGTTCCCGGCAACGGGTGCTGTGCGATGTAGTTTGCTTCTAATGGGATGAAGCTCTCTGCTTGTGCGTGGTCGCGGACTGCTGACGGCGAAGCTGCTTCTGGGATATCAATTGAGAAGGGGATGTTGATCCAGTCGGTTGGGGTGCTGGGCGAGGGTATGTGTATAGGTCCACGAAACAAGGTTTGTGATGGCAGGTCGAAAAGCTTCCAGTTGCCGTAGTATGTGGCTTTTGATGGGTAGCCTTCTGTTATTAGGCGGGCTTTTGTGTGTCCGATCAATGTAAGTGAGATCTTGGCATCGGGGGCCACGATGTGCGAGTGGCGGTTCACGCTGCCAATTATGGTGTCTCCTGCGACATACGTCCATACTGGAGGCGCTGCAATGGATATATTTAGGTTATGGCCTCCAGTTGTCTCAGTGGGATGCATGGCTTCATAGCACTTGGAGGTGGGGGAAGTTCTTTGAAAGAATTTTAGTAAAACCACAAGTTTCTTACATAACTCAGGGGGCCGAGGGGGCTAAGCGGTTAGTCAAATAAGGCCATTGGCAGTCACAAATGAGGAATTGCGAATTGTGAAGATATCTCTACAAGGATAGTATGGGTAGATGGGGTGTCTCAGCGAAGGCAAGCGGGGATAGTGAGGGGATATTCTCATAGTTCACATCCCGGTATAGGATACTACGTAGTGGCTGTAGGTGAAGAAGCAGATGTAGAATCTTGTAAAATGAATAGTACATATCTTACCGTTCGGTTTTTGCCAGCTCGTGTTGACCTCCACTTCCTTTATGCACTTGCCAGATATACAAGTCAGACCCACCTGCTGTCACGTAGATCCAACTATGTTATAACCTTGCATATCCTCATCTAGAAGCGTAAAAGAGTATACTTGAACTGGATCAGATTATTGAACTACGTCGTCAAGGACAAAGGCCGCATAAGCGGCCGACTATTCTCGTAACACCTACATATGTACGTTGGAAGGCATGAGACAATCATCTGAAGTAATAACCCCAGGTTCTCCTTTGACTACACATACTTCTAGACATCTATCCTGCAAGGATGAAGTGATCAAAAACAAAATCCTACAGTGTTTACTGCAAGCAAATACCAAGAATCAAAGCAATAAAATCGGGTATCAAATTCGCACTCGAGAGCAGTGCATACATACAACCTCTTCTCGCAGACAGGTTTCATACATACAAGTACAGTTCCAAGGCAGGTCGAGTATCCCCACCAGCTCACCAGACAAGCAGACAAGACGAGATCGAAAGCCTTGAGTCAAGCAGGAGGGACCCTCAATCGGACCCCGATAACCTACAAGACACAATAACAAAAAGGATACGCGTCGAAGTAATTTCGAGGTCACTGTGCGCCCGCCCAGACGCCGTGTAAAAATAAAAGCCAATCCCAGACGCCGTGTGCATCAACGATGCAGAATGTGTATAGTCATAGCCACCAAGGACGGAGGTAATATCAGCATGTGAAAGAGTAAATGTAAATAAAGTGAGGTCGTTCCACGTATTCCCGGTGTACGCCCATGTACCGAGAGGGGAGGGTATCATGTAGTGTGGGATAATATTTCAAGGTAAGGGGGGTGATGCAGCATTCGTGAAGCTGGCGGTGAGATATATCACTCATTGGCCTGCTTGATTCTGGCGGGCTCTTGTTGGACGTTGTTATGATTTTCGAGCTTTGCAGAGCCATGACCGCCACCATTTGCAGACCCCGAGAACGGCAGTGCGGCCGTCGTCCTTCCGCTCGGTACCGTCCGGGTTACCCAGGACCATGGAAAACACCCAGAAAAATGCGGCTGTCCATGCGAAGAGGAGGATCACAATGCTGAGTAACGGGGATAGGACCAGGACGAAAATGGAAGTAGTCACGGCGTATACCTCGCTCGGCTCGGATATGATTGACGGTTGGTCTGAATCTGGCTCTGAGCGGATCCATTGGGTCGATTGGGTCGATGATGATCGGTCTTCCACTAATGGTGGCTGCAAGCAAACGAGCCGTTCATGGATATGGAGGACAGGAGAAAGGAGATCACAAAGTTGCGATATGAACGTCGTTGCGCGGAGGTATGGGGAAAATGAGCAAAGACGGAAGGGTGAGACGAGGAGGGCGAAGAGGATGGCGAATATGGTATATAGAGAAGCGCCAAATGAGTATAGTGGGACGACTGTGAGACGGAACTGCCAGTTTTTATTAGTATATGAAATATTGGACCGATATATTGCGCACTTACCAGCATTAGAAGAGCATCTTGGCCCTCATTGGTGATTATTTCGTCATCCGGAATGGCTCGTTTTCGGACACGGATTATACTCGGGTTGGAATGTTCCCCCGACATTAATGACGGCCGGTCTGCCCAACTACTCGGGGCCCGCTCTTCCTTGTGTGCACCACTTGATGTCGAGCCGCCGGCCGGAACGGAGTCCGTCTCTCGAGTGTCTGAACCGGGCCAGTACGGTCCTCCCAGTGTCTGGTTATGATATACACGGTGTGCACGTGAGCTAGAAGTGCGGGGACTGACGTCGTGGCTTGGTATAGGAGAGGAGGGTCGAGATCCGCCAACGGGGTGACCCAATACAGATGATTGTTCTTGAGATCGACGGGTAGGCGGTGGAGGGGTGACGATCGAGCTGCGAGGATGTGTCGTTCCAAGAGGTCCTTGATCATGATAGTAGGCGGCACTATATGACATCTCCGGTGACCGCATGGCGAGCGAGGAAATAATAGCAGTAGGTGAAGACGAAGCAAGAGTCGTACAAGGTAGACGCACAGAGGGCGACTATTGCATGTAGAATTCACCGCATGGTTTCCGTAATCGTGATCTTTCTGGCATAGGGGGCTCTCGGTTGACAAGTCGGAGGGGGAAGGGGGTGGGCAGAGAGGGCGGAAGAGAGACTTATAAGGGAGCACGGAGAACTGCAGCTTGAAAGAGCGGAAAAGCCAGGAAAGCCCAGGAAAGGCCGTGCCAGGCAGCGGAGGAGCATTTCCTGCCGCTTGCAATCCCTCTCGCCAAGACGCCCAGATGCCGAGCCCTTGGCATTGAGTCGAGCCTTGTATGGGGTACAAGAATCATTTGTGGGTATCCTGCTCATCCTTTTATCTAAGATCCCGATCATGGCTATCTCTAGAGCATACTCGATAACAGGGTATGGTTGTGTCGGACAAGATGTGCAGTTGTCCTACCATGAAACAAAGATGCTGAGTGGTCTAGGGGTCAAAGATGCAGATGAATTACGAGATTTTACCACGCGCCAAGGCGCCAAGCAGCCATCGGGGATGATAAGTCGACAATTCTCGGTCTCTGATTGGTCGATTACGATGAGATGATCCGCGCCGAGACGAAGCCTAGAGTCTTGGCGGTAACAGCCATACGCACGTGATAATATGTATTGCTCCTATTGCCCAATGTATATAATCTTGGAAACTTCCAAGGTTACGTAGATAAGTTGTATGCATTTGAATCTATGTGATTTAGTACTCACGGAATTGGACCTCATAGAACCTCACAGGGCTATATACATGGGTGTCTACAGCCAAATAAGGGGTTACCACAATACCCCCTAGGACGGTCAACGCCCAGACGCCCAGAGGTTGGCGGGTTTTGGCATTCGATTTCGGAGAAATAATTTTCAGATTCTTCAATATCTCTTACCTAACTTTTCCCAATAATTGTCCTGAGTTTGCCAAGGTGCATAGTATTGGCCAAAATAGATACTCCGTACTCCGTACCTATCTTGATACTCTTGCCAGATACCCCCAACCCTGACAGGAAGAGTCTTGGAAGTCTTGGCTTTCTGGTCCTTTCATTCCGCTGCCCCGTTGAGATGAATCCGATTATCTCGGCGAATCAATGCCTCCGACATCCGCTTCAGATCCAGAATTTGCTTTCTCCTCGACGGAGCTCAAACTCTTGGCTTGTAAGGGTTTTCTGTCTGGATGCCTGGGCACTGTATACAAAACCGTATTCTCTGCTTGGCTGCCCAGGTTAGCGGTCAGGAGTGACTGATTGCGTGTTCTGTGCTCGGCAACCGTAACGTTGCCACGCTCTCTGTCGAGTCTGCTGGTTTTCCTTTATTTACGGCTGCACGCTGTCCAACTAACTCCCCTTGGCTGTCAGTCTTTGCTCAATCAACACCGAGAATCATGTGCGTTTTCTCAAATTCAGCCCGTGATCAACCATACATCTGCCATTAGCCAAGCACGCAATGGCATGGCATGACAATAACAGGTGGCGAGTGTAGATCAATCATATCCCCCAAATTTGGGCGCTGTTCTAAACCACCCAACGTGAGGGGTCGTGGTCTGCTGATACGCTGGCTATGAATCACCGTCAAAACTGATCGACTCTTCCATATCTCTCAAATCCCACAGCTATCCCATCTACCAAATTATCTACCTGTCATATTGGACCGATTTGTCTACTATTCGTCGCATACTTCCCTGGGAAATGACAAGTACAACGTTATATGAAGGCACCTTCCCCCCTTAACTGCATGCATGCAAACCTGACCTCGGTGTCTCCAAGCAAATTCCCATCTGAGCAGCTCATTCTTCCCGCCTCTTCACCCACAAAACACCAACCACGCTCCTGCGGCACATATATATTCAACTTTCCTTGCAGAGCTTATCGCTCATCTATATGGGGTGGTTTTCACTAATTCTTCTAGCACCTCATCCATTGCAAGTTTATCGAACCATCGACCCACGACAAATCTGGGCCGGTCCTATCGAATCGCATAATTGATTGAAGACGTGAAATAAAGAAGCTTGCAAATTACTGAGGCTGCCACTGAGATTCCGAATGTCGGTTCGCTGATCTTGGGAATCTTGACATTTCGTCCAAAGGTTAAGAAGGTTTATGCATGCTTATGCGCTCGATCCTCGATCCTCTGTTCTCCCAATTCTTCTACCGACTTGCCTAGGGCTATTCGCTACACATGTACTTTTCTAGGCCGCTCCCATAATCTTATTGGTTCCTTAACTTGACTTCTACATCTCAACCGAACTGTCCAATAGTCCGACTTAGTAGAGTATCTTCCTACGTCGTAGTGCATATAGCTCGATTCTCATTATTAGCTTAACAATAAATGCAATTGGAACTTAGTGTCTCAATGGACCATCATGGCCAAGACCTCTGAGCGCTCATTGGTGCCCACGGCTACCTTTGCTCCGTGCACGTTGTAGTGTACACTTCTATAACTACGCTTGATTAGATCTAATTTTTAGTGCCATTTTCTAAATATATATCAAAACATGCCGCAAATAAAGTTTCTCACTCCAGACATCCAAGGCACATGTGATCACGTGCTCTTACATCGGGAAGGTTGGTTTTTGGGCATCAGAAATTGGAAGAAAATAACATATGAGTATTTGAATGGTCTGTTTCTGCTATATAGTGTAGTACTCTGTCGAACT